AATAGGATATTCCTCGTTAATCCTGCAGCTCAGTTTTCACTTGTTAGAGACGGGCTGGGAATTTATCTTCAAAGGTCCTAATTAAGAAAAAAAGTGTTGGCAAAGGTGCATGTAATTACATCTTTTTGTAACATCAGAACTTTGCTTCATGATGGATTTAGAAACATGATCTTATAAATAGACTCTTTTTGCAAAATTAAGTAACCTCTTCCCTACCCAAGCAGAGCCCAAAATCCAACCAAGTACCCAAACTCTTAAAAGACCGTCGCTTGGAAGTTGTCAATGGTCATAGCAGGCCCTTGTGAATTTAGATGTGACACATCAAATGAAGAGTTCATAACTGTGAATTCAAGTAATTAGCTATTAATCATTGCCTAATTTGAAATTACCTGAACCCTCACATCATGGCCAGTCATAGAATCATAGAATTACTGAATCACTAAGGTTGGAAAAGACCTCTAAGATTATCTAGTCCAACCGTCCACTTACCACCAATACTGCCCGGGAAACACATGCCTCAATGCCACAACTCTGTGTTTGTTGAACACCTCCAGAGACAATGAATCCACTCCTCCCTTAGCAGCTCGTTCCATTGCTACTATTTCGAGAATAAATTTTTCCTAATATCCAACCTGAACCTACCCTGGTGCAGCTTCAGGCCATTCCCTCTTATCCTATTGCTGTTACCTGGAAGAAGAGGCCAACACCCACCAGCAGAGCAGTGGTCTGAAGAAGAGCAGTAAGGTCTCCCCTGAGCCTCGTCTTCTGCACACTGAACAACCCCAGCTCCTTCAGCCTCCTCCCATTTTGTAGGCAGGGAGCCTTGGGCTTTCCAACTATGCTGTGTGTTGCTGAAAGCGAGCAAACACAGAAGAGGCCTTCCCACTTGTCTCTAAAGAGCATTCATTGGGTGCTTTATGGCTAAGTATTGTTCATGGCAGAACTTGAACTCTTGGGATCAGACTCGTGTAAAACCTGCTAGTTAGCTGTAAGCAGTCATCTCCAAAAGGAAGTGGTATCTCCATTGAAATACTAATTCATTGTGCTCCTCTGTGGTGGTTTCCTGAGTGCCGCTGGAAAAAGATGATGATATACATCCTAATTTCACTACTAGCCATTAGCCTCCTCTCCCACTGAATTTGAAGTTTTGAAAAAGTAAATGTTTTTTTGCTAGTTTGCGTGAATGATGCACCTGTCAAGGTCCTAACAAGGCTGTGACTAAAGCACTATCCAAGTTATTTTCAGAGAGTTTTGTTCTGACACAAATGACTCGGGATGCTCCACTCAGGAGCGTTAACAGGGAGTAGCTTTGCTGTCTTAAAAAAAGAACAATCATAAAAGTGCTGGGACTGAACGCTTGTTGGAATAAATGGAGGAGTCTTTTGCATCCAGGCATGGTTTTTTTAAAAAAGTCATGCCCTTTATTGTGTTTATCAGTCATTTTAGTAACAGCGTTGACTGTCAATCCTGAAGACGTTTTTGTCTGCATGCCACAGTATTAGGCCACATTGAAATAGATAAAGCAGTTATGTTTCCAGCCCAGCAGCAACTTGCCCCTGGCGCAGAAGATCAGGAAAGATTTAATGAACTTGTTGTAACTTGCATAATTTCAATGCTGGCAAGTAGTGCTAGGCCAGGGAAGTGTGATGGTTTTGACAGTTTCCCTAGATACGTTCAACCCAGCAAGAAATGTGCATCCTGAGTGTAAGTGGTAGTATAATGCCATCATTGATTACTTTCATCTGAGCAAATAGTGGTGTACTGTCATTTTTCAAAGCCTGACGTTGGAAATTAGTGTTGTTTACCATTCCCCCTTCACTGTTCTACTCCAGGCTCTACCTTTATAACCCTGTGGAGATCACTTCTACATGCTTCAATTAGGTAGTCTTGCCTTATATTACTTACTAGCAGCATTTTTTTATTAAAGAGGAGCTGCTAACTTGAATGCTGCTACTATCCGTAAAACTTGAATAGGAAGGGAAAAAGGAATTGTAAAAGGATCAAATGAACAAAATGCTTGATACTTCAACAAGTGAAAAAACTAAAGATTTCTCTTCTGTAAAAGCACTGGAAGCTTTTAAGAACTGCATCTTCAATGTACTCCCTGTGGGTTTCAACATAATTTTGCTTTTATATACTCTGAAGAGCTTTCGTTTCGTGAAATGAATGCAATTTAACACCTGTTCCCTGCAAAATATCATAAACCAACTGGTTTAGATTATTTCATTTTGCAGAAATAGAGCTGAAGCACTTGGTAAAACTTATTTAACTGGGTCACTGGGTCACAGCATTTAGTGCTGCTGACTTGCAAAATAGCTGCATTTTGCTAAAAAGCATCTATGAAAGACTTTTTAGTAAACATGAGATAAGGAAAGTTTGTAATAGGTCACACTGGAAAATGAAAATATAGTCTCCGTGGATAATGCCATTTGTAAAATGCACCTGTTTTGCTTGATGCTTTCTCCCTTCAGGTGTATTTGAATTGCAGTTTTACTTCCAAACTCCTCCCAAATGACAGTATTTACTAAACATACTTTGACCAAATTGGTTAAGATGTTTTATATAGAAGAACATCTGCAGATATTGTCTACTTGAACTTCAGCAGGGCCTTTGACACCGCCCCTACAAGGAGAAGCTGATGAAGTGTGCACTGTCAAGCCTAAAGCCCTCGGTCTCAGCTGATATCAGGCCCCCTCTCACCTCAATGCCCCTCACGGAAAAAAGAAGGGACAGCTTGTAGGTCAGTGGGTCCCACTTCTTCCCACACTGTTGCTGGGGTTTCAGAGGCTTTGCCTGGCAGGGGAACATTCTGTCCTGCCCCTTGCACTTCCATGACAATTAGGCAGCTTCTCGGATGATGAGAGTTCCCCTGCCTCTTTCCTCGTGCACTGGGGCACAGTGTCTCTCATACAGCAGGGTGGATGGTTGCATCCACTGAAGCCTCCTGTGATGTGGGAGGAGACTCAAATGATGCAGGTCAGCCAGGCTGACCCAAGCTTCTATTACAAAAGGCAGGGAAAGTTTTCTTGAACAGCATATTGCTCACAAGGGTGCATATGGTCTGAGCACGCCGAATGTCTGCTCTGAGAAGCTTAGATGCTGCACTGCCTGTCTCCAAAGCACTGAGTAGCTTTGGTGTCTGACCCCACCCTTCTGCTCCAGTCAAAGCATTGCTCAGCATTCATGGGACATTCTGTTGAGCTGCTTGTGGGCTGGGCCTTCATATCCGAAATGGAGCCATCTGTTGGTTTGAAACTCCTTCAGGGTTGAGAAGGTGATTAAGAGTAAGTAATGTGAGCTGAATTTGAACATGAAATGAAATTCAAGTTAAGTTCCTAAGCAGCTTTGAGGATCTGTGCCTGGGCTCACAAAATGCAATTAATTAATGACTAGCTGGAGACCCTCTAGGGATCTACGATCTTTGAGGTTTCAGTGTGGCATCTCCCCTCTTAGCCCATATATCATGCTCTGAAGACGTTGTTATGCCAAGGAAGGAGGCAGACACTTTAACTAACTCTTCAGTCTAGCACAATTCCATATAAGCTATAGCACGCTGTGGCTTGGCAGTAGGGAGCAAGAACTGGTTTCTACCAGACCTTACATACTGATAATTGCTAGGACATTGCTGAAGTTTTCCTAGCCTGGTGATCTGTGGCATCCAGCTTGTATTGCTAAAACTGCTGGACATTCATTAACAGAATTGGAATGTCATTAATACTGTTACCAAGGATTTTACTCTGTAAGTGTCTGAATATGGCACTCCAGCACTACTCAAGCAAATTAGAACTAGCAATTCCTGGAAAGAGGCATTTATTAATGGTATAATGCCCACAAGTGTCACCAGATGTTGTTCCTTATAAAAAGGCTCTAATTTGGCACTTCTCGCCTTTAGAAGGAACTTCTTACAGAGCAGATGTCACTTCTAATCCTATCTTTCATGGGAGCCCATGCCCTGTTAAAAATGGCATGCCAATTCAGAAGTAGGCATGGTGCCACTGAAGCAGATGGTTATGAGCACAAGTTGTATTGTAGAACTGGTGTTTGCAGAAATGTAAATGCTGGGATTGAAGCCTACGCAAGATCATCAAAATGTTACTACCCAGGAAAAATTCCTCCTAAGGTAGTTTGATACATGCCACTGATGCTTCACAGCTGGTAGAAAATGGGTATCAGTATCATCTATATGGCCAAGAGATGACCTTTTCAGAAGGTTGATGCATCAATTTCTTCAGCCCATTTTAAAATCAGCCAGTGATGGGCAAAGCTACCATCAACACATGCAGATTTGATACCATAGTGGAATTCTCATCTTGCCTGGTAGTGTTGTAACTTTTTGCAAGAGCCCAAATATGATGTGCTATATGATCCAAAGTATGACATAGTCAGAAAATTGCCTGCAGTTTCCATTTAAACATGTAGAGGTTTTATTTTATGTTGAAATTTTTACTTTGTCCAATGAAGCTTGTAACACTTCAGTAGGAAGCAACATGTAACTCCACTCAAGTAAGAAATCCATTTAACTGGCTCCTAAAATATGTATTTTAATTGTTGATGTGAGATGAATAAATATTGATAAAGAAGGTGCATCAGCAGAAGGCTGTATCTGTTATGTATGAAGGACATTGAAGTTAGGTCAGTGCCTCAAAAATTACTCTAAATATCAAAAACTTAGAGTGATCAAAACCAGCAAAAAGGCTAAGTTTTAAATTCCATGTGAGCGTACAGAATTGGATTCTCCATTTTATTTTTTTCTACTGCATCAGTTACAGAAATGCCACAAAGCCTGATTGTTTCTACCATACTATTGCACACCTGTAGTTATGGGAGGTGATAAACACAGCCAATCAAACCAGTGCAGGAAAAATTGTTCTCCTACCTTCTGTGCCATGAAGAATTGTTCATATTTATGGTGAAAGAACAAGAAGAGATATATTTATTCCTGTAAACATAACTTTTGTCTGTCTAGCTAAAGTCATAGAATGGCTTGATTTGGAGGGGACCTCCAAGATTATCTAACTCCAACCCCCTGCCATGGGCAGGATTGCCAACCACTACATCAGGCACCAGCTCTGGTTGCCCAGGGCCCCATCTAGCCTGACCTTGAACACCTCCAGGGATGGGACAACAACAACTTCTCTAGGCAGCCTGTGCCAGTGCCTCATTACCTTCTCAGTGAAAAATTTCCTCCTGACATCTAGTCTAAGTCTCCCCTCTTTCAGTTTGAAATTGTTCCCCCTTATCACTGTCTACCCATGTAAAAAGTTTTTAAGCTCTCATTAAGTATTGGAAGGCATAAGTGAGATCTCCCCTGAGCCTTCTCTTCTACAGGCATATCAAGTCCAGGTTCCCCAGCCTGTCTTTATAAGAGAAGACATGAGAAGTTAAAATATTACTCTTCCCAATCTGCCTTTCATCAGCTTTATAGGCACTGGACTTTTCAAATACATTTTGATTAATGGAATTAGGGCTAAATTTTGGGGAGTATTTAGGCTCAAACTGCAACCTAAAACTAGAGCTAAGCTATCAGATCCAAATGAGGATCATACAATTAAGGCCCCAGAACAAGACAAGTTATTATATGTCAACTGGGCAACCTGGCCTAGTGGTTGGCAGCCCTGCACACAGCGGGGGGTTGAAACCAGATGATCATTATGGTCCTTTTCAACCCAGGTCATTCTGTGATTCTATGAGCAGAACCTCGTATGTTGTCTGTGTTAATACTAAGGCTGTCATTGTTCATCAGTGCTGGTGGGATTCATCTGAGCTGTCCAAAATGTGATGAGATCTAGAGAAGCACCACACTCCCTCCCCTGGTTGTAAAGGGTCTGTCCCAGAGGTACCATCTAGACTGCAGAGACCCAAACCCACCTGAATCGGGAAACTGGCTCCTGTGCTGACAGGCAATGAAGATTTGGCTTCTTACTTGAATGGCAGTTATCAAGCTCAAAATTCACAATTTGGGTTTATTAAGACTTCATTAAGACAGATTTTATAAAGGCACGTAGGCATGAACAAGCGCTCTCTAAAATGACTATGGTAAGGAGGGTCATTACCTCTGAGCTAGAAATATGTAATGGGAAAAAATACTCCAAGTACTCTACGTTTAAGCACTGTTTGAGCATCAGTCCTTATGGAGCTACTTGTTCTGGATGGAAGAGAAATCTGTCACCAGCTTTTCCCTGATCTATTGCCCATTTGGACTTGGGTATTGGAAACTATCGGGAGCTGGCTCTCTGCAAAGATAAAACAACAATCTGGTAATTTCATCTGCTGTCATAGCATCGTAACAGCACGGTCTCCCCCAGGGATCACAGTGTACCACTTGGACAGTGGCATTGCTTCAGAGCCATACATTCAGTTGTGTCAGGTGATGACTACGCTGTGAAGCGTTCTATTTAATTTTACAGTGTTGAGCAATAAAACACTAACCCACTAAGCAGAGAAACAAAATGCTTACTTGACAAGTGGCAATTCTTGCTATCCATCTATAAAAATTGCCACTCTATAGATAAAAGTCATAAATAAACAGTGGGCCTTAATTAAAGGATGGGCGTGTGTTCCAGTGCAGTGAAAAGCATGTCATGCATTTTCAAGTGTCACCTGATTATTCACAGTAGTTTAGGCATTTTCCTTATCAGAGCATTACCCATGGCAGTGATTTAAAATTTCATTTTGTGTGTGGAAACTGGGGCACAGAAGTGCAGCCTAGAAAAACTCAGCGGAACAATACATCCCAACATTTTGCAGGCCAAGAAAATTCATTCTAGGCTCATTCATCATCAGGTTTTCCTGAATGCTTTTCTGCCTCTCTCTGCTGTTCCCTTGCTGTGTGAATTTTGAGAGTAGCTGAACTCCTTCATCCTTTTGTTATTTGTAAAGCTCATTGAGTTTTATGACTGGAAAGTGCTTTAGAAACACGAGTGATATCGGTTCGTTGCTACAATAACTAGACTACCTTTGTTGTTATTAAACTTGGAGTCAAGTAGTGTGTAAGAGTCTTTGAAGGGCTTGATACTACCCTGGGTAAATGTACTTCGTGAAAATTTATGATGCTAGCACGTTCCTGTCATCTCAGGTGTGACTGCAGCTGTGACAGGAGCTTGCAGCTCCATGTCTGCTGCCAGCATAGAGAATGCTTGACCTGCTGTGAAGAGCTGGAAATTTGCTGCCTTTCAAAAGGCTTCACATAGCAGCCCACAAGACAGGGAGCAACAGAAGCAGCTGCACTTGTATTTTGATATTCCTTGAGGACCCACAGCATTGTCAGACAAGCTATTTTTCTAGAAATCACCCAAATCCTCCAACAAAAGCAGACTTGATTGCCACTGAGCAAGACAGGAAAGCCACGGCTGTGAGGCTCCAGAATGCAGCCCATCCCATCGCTCTCTCCTCTCAAAACAAGACTTGCCCGTGCAACTTGGCCTAGTTCACTTCTTGTCAAACACAGAATTCCCCCCACCCATGCTCCCACTGAGCATGTAATATCACCTAAGATCATACCATGTTCCATTCTGTAAGTGCTTCTAGAAAAGGAATGGTTCCTCCTTGTGGCACATAAGAGGGTCTTCCAAGAAGCAAGCTACTGAGGGCAGGGTCAGTTGGTGAAGAGGACGTCACGAATTTAAGGAGTGCATACAGATAGAGGGTGGCTTAACCATCTGGGAACCTGTGGGATTTTGGTCATGGCTTTCTCTGAATGCACAGCCTACAGCATGTAACTGTCCTTGACTTCACAGAATTATAGAATTGTTTGAGTTGGTAGGAACTTTTAAGGGTTACCTGGTCCTACTCCCTGCAATGAACAGGGTCACCTACATCTAGATCAGATTGCTCAGACCCTCTTCCAGCCATGAATCCTGCATGCCTTCACTGGCATAATAGTGTAGGGGTTAGTGGGTGCAGTTGGGACACTCTGAAGTACATTCAAGTCTTCAAAAACCTTCTCCCCTGTATTTTTTCATAAGTTCTAGAGTAGGATTCCTTGGGGCTCATAGTGAGGAGGTGCTGAAAGTTAGACTGAAGGCCTATAGCTCCAGCAGATTGTTAATACTCTTTTAAGTACTTTCCTGCAAAGTCAACTGTGCTACTTTGCATAGAACAACGAGTCTGCAAAAATAAAGGGTGATTTATACAGGTGAGCCCAAATGACTTACCAGGTGCTTCAAAGGCAAGCAAGGAATCTCTCTTGGTTGAAATAAAAGCAGAATTAGAGGAGTAGGAGGGAAGAGGTACAGTACAGGGGCGACGTGGTCGCCTGCAAACTCTTAATGCAGGGTACATCTGGCGTCTCTGTTCATGCTCTTACTTAAAAACAAGAACTCAAAAGACTGGAGGGCTGATCCTACTGACTCACCTGCTGCACCTAATAGTGGGAAGCATTATCTGATGATAGACTGACAAGTACCATTTGATGAATAATCTTTCTAGTTCTCCTTCAAGAGACAAATTCCTCTGTGTAAATGGAAACCCTTATTCCTCTCAGATCAGGAGGAATATGTGCTTTTCGTGTAATTTTAGCTTCATTTCTTGTTTGAATGCTATTTGCAAAGAGGGATCCAACAACGTTTGTAGTGAGATGGAGCCCTCTTTGTCCCCACTGCTAGGGGACAAGATGCTGCCTTGTGGACCTACACTCCTTTACCTCTGGCTGAGCATCACCAGAGGTATGAGGAATGGGAGTTTTATGGTCAGTCCATAACAGCTGCACTCTGTCCCTTCTTCCTCTTCACACTTCTCCCCTTCTCCAGTGTGGTCCACGGGCTGCAGTCCTTCAGGATAAACCTGCCTCACTTCAGGCTCCTCCCACAGACAGCAGCTCTGGCTCAGGGCCTTCTGCTGCGGGGGCTCTCAGTGGGCTGCAGCCTTCTCACGGCTACATGCATGCTGCCCCGTGGGCTCCTCCATGGCTGCACGTGGAGGTACGCTCCGTGTGGTGCCCCTTGTCTGCAGGGGGCAGCATGCTCCTCCATGGGTCTCTCCCAGGCTGCAAGGAGCTGCTTCTCTTGCCTTCCTGCTACCCTGCCCTTGGGACTGCAGGGCTGCTTCTCTCGTGCTTTCTTATCACGCAGTTGACTGTGCGCTGCTGGGCCATGTTTTTTAACCTTAAATGTACTCTTTCAGAGGCGTCACCAGCATGGTTGTGCCCTGAGGTGAGGCCACTGCAGCTGACTGGAACCGGCTGGAACCGGCTGTGGCTTGCCACAGACACCCAGCGCAGCCATGCAGCTTATCTTACACAGTGCTTTGGTCATTAAACCATCAAAAGCCAAATCTTTTCTTCGCAGAATCATTAAGGTTGGAAAAGACCACTAAGGTCATCTAGACCAACCGCCAGCCCACCCCACCGTGCCCCACTGACCTCTTCCCCCAGTGCCGCATCCACATGGCTCCCGAAACCTCTGGGGTCGGTGACTGCGCCGCCTCCCTGGGAGCTGTGCCACAGCCTCTCTGCTCTTTCTGAGAAGAAATTCTTACTTATATCTGACATAAACCTACCTTGGTGCAACGTAAGGCCATTATCACCTGTCCGATCTCTAGTTACATGGGAGAAGAGGCCGACCTCCACTTCAGGCTCTTCAGAGAGCGATAAGGTCTCCCCTGAGCCTCTTCTTTAGACTGAACAATCTCAGCCCACGGAGGAGGCGTGCAGCCCAGGGCATTCTTGATTCAGGAACCTGACCAGGTCATGTTTTCAGCCTCTGCATCCACCGTATCTTTAATCAGCAGATCCTGCGTGCCGTGCTTTGGATGGCAGAGGTGTTTGCAGCTAGCTGCACTCCATCTTCAAGACCTAAGGAAATTATTTTTTTTAATAAGAATTTGTGTAATTTCCCTTGGCACTTCATTCTTCAGCAAGGGAACTGTGGATTTTTGAACAGAAATATTCGCTATCATAAATTTCACATCAGAGAATAAAGGATAGGTATCTGAGGTTTCAATTAAAGATCATTTGAATTGCACATCTCTGCAAACAACAGGAATAGTTTCCTCCTCAATGTTTGCCTTTCTGTTTTTAAACATTAGAGCAAAGAGCCAAGGAAATCATCTTTTTT